AGAACCAGATTCAGGGAACGACTAGCAGCGAATTCAGTACAAGCACCAAAGCGATTGTATGTCTACCTCAGGCGAAGAATCAGAGCGACGCTTGGTCTCGCGACTCTCGCCAAAGATGGGGCACTAGCCGAAAAAGAAGAGGACGAATCGCAGATGCTCGCATCACGTTATGCTTCAGTTTACACCTCAGACTCCAGCACACTGACACATCTACTGGACACTGACACTGCGCTGAATTGGGCCGTTATTTACCATCGGGGATGTGGCTCTGGAGCTGCGTCGACTAAAGGTTCACCAGTCATCTGGAAGTAATGGTGTGCATCTGCTGATCCTGAAGGAGCTGGCAGATGAACCCTCAGCGCCACTGTGCAACCTGTCCAATTTGTCATTCACTCAAGGGAGTTTACCGCGGCAGTGGAAGGATGCTGTCATTGTTCCACTGTCCAAAGTTAGGAATAGAAGTGACCCTGGGAACTATCGACCAGTCAGCCTTACTAGCGTTGTGGGTAAAGTAATGGAGCGACTGGTATCTGCACGGATTTGACAGCATTTGGTGTGCCACTGTCACCTGTGCCACCAACAACACGGTTTCCGGCCGGGTCGCTCATGCCACTCAAACCTGCTACTTGCACATGAATGCATCTGAAACTCAGCATGTGGCAAATGAAGAAAGGGTATCATGGATGCAGTTGAGACAAACGGAGATGGACTCGTACAAACGGCTGTGATGCATACGGGTGGCGGCAAGATAAGAAGAGGTGTACGTCGACTGTGTCCAGTAGAAGGAGCCAAATAGCATCCGGGTGCTAGACTTGGGGTGTGTGAAGGCGTACTGCTGTAAGTCTTGTACATCCCAAGGGAAGGGAGGTAGCAGGCGTGTTGCTGTAAGTCCTGTGAACTCCATTGTTTAGGGAGCGTAATTAAGAAGGAGGAGCCTGAACAAAAGACCATCGGAGGTGACATGGTCCGCTCAGAGGAATCTTGATGACCGGTGTAACATGGAAAAGGAATGAGAATTCCTCTCGATTACCTTGCATTTCCTTATCTCTCTTCGCCATTCTATCGTGCATTGTTTCTTAAACTGGTTTTCATGTCGGTGCATTTTCTATTCTGAACCTTCTATTTCACATATTTATTGGACACACACTTCAAATGCTTTGCTCCTATATGTATATCGCATCGCGGAGGGCATCATATGGTTGGTCTGGTGGCGGGTTGCATAAAATGTCGCGCAGACCCGGAGCCATAGACCTTGGAAAGTAACCTACCTACTGAATGAACTTAGCTAACTGATTGGTCACCCTAGCTAACTTAAACTGGGCCTCGATCTGGGCCAGCCAAAACTCTGGATCTTCAGGTATTAACTCGGGTATACGAGCGTACAGGCCCAATAAGCTCGTTTCGTCTGCCGCAGCGATAGTACCGTTTCCTTACCCTCAGGAAAACATCATGACTCAGGTGTGAATCTAAGGGAAAAAATGAATAATCAAATTGAGAGAAAGATGCCCGAACTACAGTGGATCTCCGGGCACTTGTGCAGTATAGACGAATGAGTAAACTAAGTATCTAACGAAGTGCAAATGTCTGCATATGTAGGATTTCGTAAGCAAAAACTTGGTTTAATGGTAAATAAACTAACAAATAGAGTACTGGCCGATTGTGATACACTAAAATATTTTCTTTATGATCAAATGGAGTTTCATTATATTTATTACCCGTATTAATGCTTTAGGTGTGGACAATAATTTATATCTTGCTTGCTTCGATGTATGTAGTTTCATGGCTGCATGATTGTCAGTTGAACGTGCCTGACCTTGAGTGCTAAAAATTATTGATCTGAACATGAGAATTGCAAACTGTATCAAGTATGACAACGCAATACTTTCTAATAAGAATGACTTATGAATTATTCCAAATTATTTCCGTCAACCCTTGCCATTTCCCTTATTTGTAATGAGGCATTATTTTATCTAATGTTTAATCCATTATAGCAACTCTGTTGGATAACCAAATGAAATTCTTTTACAACCCAGAGAAATTGCATTAAATAAGGTTTCATAATAATTATCTATGTTTGATATCTAACTCAATCAATTCGAGAAATTCCACCTTAGTCAAAGTCAACCTTGAAATTAAGGTCATTTTTGTGCACAGCTTTAAATGTTTGTATTGTTGTCACCATAATGAAGCAAGCAGCGCTTGAAACCAAAAGTTCCCGTTATCTCAGTAAACAGGACAGAAACAGAATTGCACGAGCACACAACCTGGGATTTTCCATATCACATCTTGCCCAATGCTTTAACATTAACTAAAGCACAATTGACAGGATAATTCATGGGAAGCTTGTGGGGGTCGTAAATTGAGTACATCCGAACAGGAGGACGACTTGATTCGTATTACTCTGAAAAACATTGCAGAAAATTGTTGTCGTCTATGCAACGGGAAGATCTTCCCCGCCATTTATACTCCCATCTTCAGAGTTGAATGAAAAAAATTTAAGATACGTAAGATTTCAGCTGAAGTCAGGCCAGCATTCAACACGCAGCAAAGGTAGGCGCGTATTGATTTTGCCCAAGAATTCAAATCTCGACATGCGTCATTTTGGCCACCGATTTATTTCGCCGACGAGTGCATGGTGTGCGACGAGCCTTGGAAGGCTCACACAAAAGTCAATTTCAGTGATAATTTCCCAAAAGAACTTATTCCACCAAATGAAAGAGTTTCTCATCCGTTGAGATTACTAATTTGGGCAGGAATAAAACATGGTCAGCCTTGTCGGTAGACATCAGTCAAAGGCACCATGAATAGTGTGAAATTTGCATCAATAATTAATTAATTAATTTGTTGTTAACAAAAACTGTTCCATTCTTTTTAGTTACCTCTTAACTCATCATGGTCTAGGTCACCACTACTGACGAAATGGGAGTATCCGCTACATTTCGAACCATTCCATCTTCTGAGTATAAACAATTCAGGAAAGCCACGGATGAAAAGACTCTCCAAGACTTGTTTATTATTAGTTTTAAAACAATTTACTTCAGTAAAAATGCTGTTGCCCATATGAACCGACAAGTGTTTCACAGGGACCTGTTGCTTCAGTTTCGATTGGACCTGTATAGTAAAACCGTTAAAGAAATGAAAATGAACAATATCAGTGTGTACGCCAAATACAAAAATAAAAAAGATTGTTGTGCGGGAGCACCAGACTCACTTAAAACTTTCAGCCCGTTGCGTGCCGATAGAAAACGGGTTCATCAATTTAGCACCTCGTAAGGGTTGAGCAACGACGCGTTCCCTAATACTATCTATCAAGCCTATCACAAGGTTTCCAAAAGAGAAACCTGATTAAGAACAAAGTCCGGTACGAGCGTTAGTAGTGTAATGTGACCTGCAGCGGAAAGATACACAGAGATCCAAGCGCACGATACAACTCACCGGAAATTGTACCATATTAGAGGTCATATGCGTTCTCGAAACAGAGGACAANAGGACAATAAATCAAAATAGGGCCTTAACATAAATCATCGGAATGACGCTGAAAAGTGAAAATAATGTTACTATACCTGCAAGGCAAGGCAAACAAAACCTCATGGACCAAAGCGTTTCAGTGAGATACAAGCACTCACGATAAAATATTACTGGCGCGACTGCCACGCATAACAATTCTGCCAGGTCAGGTCAGGTCAGGTTGCACAGGACTGAGTAGCGAAGAAGATATTTTGACTTGGGTGGATCATTCCTGACTGACATCAAACTTTCCGGATAGTTTAATGTGGATTTCATCCGTACGGGACAATGGATTGTCACATGGAACAGCGGTAACGACAGCAGCATCGGCAGCACCAGTAGAACCCAAGCAGTACGGTAATCCAAGACTACAGTAACAGCCAGGGTAACCCAGGGGGAGGCAGACTGATGATCACTGGCAAAACTTCCGCCATGACGCAAACGGGTTTTACCAAAATATGGATCTGTCAGGGAACAAATAACATACCACAGAGTGACTGAAAAAAAGCTTGGGGAACAGCGTTGAAAGAGTGTTAGCCTAAGCGGGAAAAATATTTCCCAGAAGGGACTATCCACATGTAACTGCTGAGGTAAAAAGTGAACTCAATAGAATTGGTGGCGCAGTATGAATCCGTGCATGAAATGGATCAACATACGAATAAATCAGGATTGACAGACCAGTCGTGAATAGAATTGGGATCAAGTTTGGAATCAACAATGAGATCGAAAGAATTCATTGATCAACACATTGGGGGGAAAGTCTGGGGAGGTTGACCGATAATCGATCGAGTTTGTTTCTTTTTACACATAGACGGGGTCAATTATAATCACCTATGCCAAAATGTTTTGAGTCGGGAATTATAAAAAAAGAAACCAATTGACGAAAAAAGGAAATACGGTAAATGATACAAAGTCCGGGTTGGAGCAGAAGAGTGTGTGCAGCGGGTAGCACGGGACACTTGATTGTAGTAAGAACGTCTGTGTCAAGCAAACCAAGTAGAAAGAAGAAGTACCACTGAAAGCGCGCGCGAACTATGGTCACAGCGTGGCAATGAATGCAGTCGGGCAACGGGGTGCGATCGGAGTCGATCGAATAGACGAACAGAAATGACTTACTCAATCTACTGGGTTTCAATCCATTTTGGGCACTGAGTGAGATAGAAGTCCTATTGTGACAGACACGTTGGAGCACAGTCTATCTCTCCAAACACCACTACTCCCGGTCTGGAGTCATTCTCAAATATACAGCTGGTCTGAGTTCGACTTAAAATTCCAACGGATGTAGGATACAAGTGACCTGGTGGCCCCACCAAGATTACAACATCAATAGCGCATTCCAATGGATGAATCAGTTCTGGTTCCTTCCTCGTGGTAACTTGTTTGAGTATTCACATGAAAACGATATTCGGGATTGATGGGAATTAGATTACGACGCCGGTTTGCACTGCGTGGAAACAATCCCAAAGCAGCTTTCTGTCTATTTATTTAGCAGTTCAGATTAAGCAGGTCGTGTCCCAAGAACCGGTAGCCACACTAACACCACTTTCAGAAATAGTCACGCAACAGACACGATTCTTGTGCGCGGACAAAATTCCCACACGTTCCTCGCGGAGGAGATCCCATACGTGACAATTGAAATCATCATAACCAGCAACTAGTAACCGTCCGGATTTCGATATAGCCACACTACTACTGCCGCAGCTAATAAATCATCAATATACACACCAATAGCCTGATTGGCCCGGAGATCCTGTAAGCGACACAAACCATCGTCCGAGGATGACGCAAATGCGTAGAAATTTCCAAGGAAAAAGTCCACGCCACTGACATCTTGTTGGTGCCCTTCAAAGTACTGAACAGTTCCAGTGACTCGTAAATCTCACAAACGACAAGCATGATCGGAGGAGGAAGACACAAACATGATGAGAACTTGTTTGGAAAAGGCGATTGCGGTCACGTCGTTTGCATAATCACGGAAGCTTGTTAAGATTTTCGCACTTTCCACGTCCCAATAAGCACAAGTTTTATCTCCAGAAGAAGTTAGTAAATGCTGATCGTCGATGAACCGGAGGCAACCAACGTAACCGGTGTGACCATTTAGCTCACGAATTAGCTTCGCAGAACTGTCACGTGATTTGAGGCTGAACAGAGATACCATATTGTCCAGGCCACCGCTTGCGACTAAATTTAACGAGGGTGCATCCCATGACCCAGACGGTTTTCAAAAGGATCGTGTGAAACTTTTTTGCGGTATACGGATACAAAACAGTCAACTTTCCATCTTGGGATGCAGATAGAAGAAGCTAATTGTCTGAAGCTCACTGGATACATGTAACTTTTGCTAAATGCCCACATAAGTGCTTCCGTACTTTGAACTTGATACGTCCAAGTTCAAGGACATGTTCTAAATATTCTAAATATTCCAACTATTGACTGCGCTACACCAGTCGCGGTTTGTCGTTTTCGGTTAGTTTATTGTTATTCTTACTAGTTGGGGCTATTTTCTTTAGGTTATAGCATTTTGTTGTAGCGTTTATTGTATTGCTTAGTATTATCCGACTATTTTTGGGTTCTCCTTACATATTNATTACTCGTTGGTTTTCGATTATTTTATAGTTATTCATAGGTGTTCTACACTTTTTCGTTAGATTATTGTAACATTTCTTGTAAGGTTTCTTGTATTGCTTAGTATTATTCGTTTTCAGTTTCCTCGCATACTACTCGTCAGTGTGTCACAATGGGTACAAGGTCTCGATTTCTCAAACCTTTTTAGTGGGATATTTGAAACAATTACTTACTAACTACTTTTAAACGCCTCAGTTATTGTGACGCACATTTGTATTCTTTATAGAAGTCATCAAGAAGCCATCAATATTATTGTAACCATAGCTGACATCATCAAAATTTGGGTTATCACTTACTTGAGTTTGAATTAAGAATAAAGAAGCTACATTGCAGGGAAATAGAA